TATATATATATTTATACGTATACATTTGTGTTATTAAAATTCTTAATTCTTAAACTCCTTTGTATCGACAATTATACAACAATATAATATTGTGGAAACGTTGATTTTGCTTGTAATAGCAATTTCATCTTTTTCTTTTTCTTAGCTTGAAAATAAATCTTTGACAAGCTTAGAAAAAAATATTATCTCGTTTGAACGATCAAAAAACGAAGCACGGCGAATTTCATTAATTAACAGGGCGGGGAACTTTGATATTGAAAACCGAAACTTGGGTATTGGTTGATAAAATTAGCGTCCGGTGAATGAGCCGCCAATTTCAATAGATCTATAGTTCAATCGCTAATAAACGTTTCAAATACATTACATAATCCGCGTTCCCTTTTCCACATCATGCAACGCTGCCTTTCTACACTATACAATTTTATATTTTCACGCAAAATTAGAGTAGGCATTGGTTTAACGTATATACTAATTGCAACGTAAACGAGACGAAATCCGATACGTTAATGACGCGATAATAATAATAAATACGAAACGATTCGTTGAAAGATTTTAACATCCCGTTGCAGAAATAATCGAAATCGATGTATTCACTGTACAACTGCAAACTGAAACAAAAAAATATAATTTCGCTCGATATTTCATTTGTAAAAAGCATCAACGATATTGATATAATATATTTACATATAATACTTACATAAATCGATTACTTCCTAGATCGATAAAATTCAATATTCATTATAATAAATCCTCGAATCTTATCCATTTTCAAATTTCTCGATTAAGGACACGCTAATTGACAAATGGTATTTCCATCTTCAAAACAAAACTTTGAATCGTATATATAAACCTCTTGGTCAACTCGTGTACCAGCCCACGAATTAATTGAAAATCACCGCGAGGGAAGCGCGAAAGCTACTATATTCGACTACTGTATTATGTATTACGAGTATTCTCTTTTAGAGGCGGGTTTCCGGCTGCACTTTCTATAACGAAGCTGATTTATATCGCCGTATTCATCGTAGTAGACCGGACGAATCCTGCTTAAACTTCAGGCTTTGTCTGACGCTTAAAGGGGATGGAGAGGGGCTTTAATTCATCCCTGCGTTGCGCCACTCGAGTATACGATAATTCAAGAACAGCCGGTTGCTATTAATTTCATCGAATTCCCTCGATATCTCCGAACTGGAATCTTGAATGGAACGACTTTGCCAAGAATTCCTTCTCGCGGACAATGGCTCTTCATTTTCTTTTTCTTCTTTTTCTTTTTTTTTTTTCACCCCTTTCTTTCTTTTCTCAGAGATCGTAAGACGTTTGAAGGATCTAAACTTTTGCAACTTTGGATGTGCATTAAGAATGATTCGACCACAGGTGAAAGATGAACGATGAAGTAATTGCAACGGTTCAAAGGCCGAATTTATTTCTGTTTTTCGAAATTTCTGGATGACTAGCTTTAATTCGTTTTTTAATCTACGCTTCTGTACTCTAATGAATGACAAAATATTTATAACAAATTCCTTCTCTTCAATTAGAAAATAACCTAATCTGTAATTAAATTAGAGATCTACTTTATTTGCTTAATCGGTTATTTGGATAAAAACTCGTGTGCATCGATGCAAAGTACGAATTCGACTTAAGATAGGAGAACCGCGGCCCGTTCGATTTCACGTTGGAAAAGCGAATGGGACGTTGCATCGTATTAATAGTAATGTCGCATGAACGTCATGGGGGTAGCGTTGCGGTTTACATTCACTCGGCTAACCCCTAACCATTACGCGTGACGTAACCTAACATCCTATTATTGTTATACGTAGAGATGCACAGAGTGGTACACGATTATGCATATAACCGTGCACGGTCTCCGTTATTGACGGACAATTACTGTTTATCGTTCGCAAACGCCACTATCTTAATCAGTTTCGTTGTTACTCAACCGTTTGCTCGTCTTCCATCTTCGAGAATACAAGATAACCAGAATAGAAGCGAATGGAAACGAATCAACTTCGTTACATCATCGTATAGAATATATAGAAATCTTTTGCGACTTTTCGTTTCGTCGAAATAAAATTATTTTAAACATTTCGTTCCCAACTTCCTTCTAAATAAAAACGAGAAACGTCACATAGAAAACCCGTTGAAATACTGAAATACTGAAACACCTCGACCAACGATTGTTCGGATGATGAGCTGAAGCTGTTCGACGCAAGGTTGAACAACAACTCCGTGTAAAAGGTGGATGCAGCACGTTGACGATTCGACGACACGGCGGAAAGGCGAGGAGGAAGACAGAGGTAGAGATAGGTGGTTCATATCAATAGTACACGTCGAGTGGACGCCGCGGGGCGGTATTGCGGTTTACATTCACTGGCAACCCCTTCCCACCGCGCGTAACGTAACGTAACGTTCTGTTCTGTATGTTCAACGAGCCGGAAGATCCATATCTCACTTGAGGGGTAGCTCTTAGAGAGGACACGTATACATGCAGGCGCGAGTGCATGCTCGCGACCAACGCTTACTGCAACCGTGTGTTCGTGCGTGGCACGAGCTTACCACCCCTTGTGCCAACATTCATGGCCCTCTTCACAAGTGTGCATGCGCA